CCGTGACGTCATGGGCAGTTTTCTCCTGTTGTGCAATTGTGATCCTTTTGCTCTAAAATTGTTTCAAGGTGTATGAAAATCTCTTCTTTTTGGCTTAGATCTACAAAATTGGGCCCTACAGCATAAACCAAGCAAATAAGGGTCCTTTGAAGCATAAGCTCAACAGCTGAAAAAAAAAAAAACAATTTAAAATTTTTTCTATTTTAAATTTTTTATTTCTATTTTAAATTTGTCCATAGGAATTCGGAGTTAGATTTACTTTAAAGTGTATTAATTTTGGTATATTTAGTATTTAATAATTTTTTTTTGAGAATTAGTATTTAATATTTTGTGTTTGCTTTCGAATGGTAATTTGTTTTGTAGATGATTTTGAATGTAAATTTTAATGTGGTGTTAATTGTTTGAATTAATAAATGGAATTCTATTTTGTAATTCAAAAATTATTTTATTTCGTTATTTAAATTTATTTATGATTTAAAATTGAAAACTGAAATTATAATTATAGGAAAGTGAATAAAATAATAGATGATGTGGAATAGTGCAATGTAGCGTTATGGGGAGGATGATTGGAGAGAAAATAAGAGAGGAGATTATATAGTGATGTCGAAGAGGTTTCTTGTCTTATGCTAGAGACAAAGATGGGGAGAGGGGGGAGGGGGGTTTGAGTGGATCAAATGAACTACCCCTCCCTTGAGAAGTGTGAAAGATGCAATGTTTGAATAATTGGTTGAAAATACGTATTTCTGTAATTACATCTATAATTATGATTGTGCACATTTTATAACGTTTGATTGTACATTTGATGATAACTGATTGTGCAATTCGTATTCTCATAGGAGGGTAGTTCTCTTGTGATCTTGCCCATACATACATATATACTTACTTATTTATTTATTTATACTCCTTCTGTCCTATTTTATGTGTCTGGTTCGATTAACGAAACTTGACTGAAATTATTTTTATTTAATTTTTCATAATATTAAGTTTAAAATTAGTATACAAAATTTATATATTTAGAAATTACACTAAAAGTGCTATTAAACACAAAAAATTAAATTTAAAAATAAATAAAAAATATTAAAGAAAATAAATTAAGAAGAAAGAGTTGGTTTGACCAACGAATAGTAAGTAGGACATAAAAAATTAGATTGAAGGAGTATATATATATATATATATATATATATATATATATATATATATATATATATATATATATATATATATATATTTGTCATCTCAATTACGGTCATGCCTTAACGTGCGGTTGGTGCGATCGCACCATTAGGTATGTAAAGACGCACCAATCTTGTTAGAAAACACACAACAATGAGATGTACCAATGCACCACAAAACGCACCACACATCCAACAAATGCACCATACCTCCACACCTAATTGTGCATTTCCGAACACTGTGTGGTGCGTTTATGCATACCTAATAGAGATTAGATGTAGAGGTTGTGTCCAGGTGAAATATGCGGTGAGACGAGAGCCATTAATCTTGTCAAAATCAACGTCCAAGATGAACACGGAAAAAATATACAAGGTGGCAATTTGGTCATTTTGCGTATTGTTCAAACTTAAGGTGCGTAGTTTCTGTGCTTAAGGTGCGTCGTGTTAATACTTAAGGTGCGCAATTTTAATACTTAAGGCGCGTCAGTTATACAATTGAGAACTTAAGGTACATTTTTTGTTGAAACTTAAGGTGCGCCATTTTAACATTTAAGGTGCGTCGGTTATAAACTTAAGGTGCATAAGTTTTACACTTTAGGTGCGCCATTTTAACACTTAAGGTGCGTAATTTTACTACTTAAGGTGCGTCTTTGTAAGATTTAAAGTGCACAAATTTAACACTTAAGGTGCCGTCTTTGTAACACTTAAGGTGCACCACCTAGACCAATGTCTGCATTATATTTTGAACTCTAGTTTAAAAATAAAATTCAAATTATGTGTTTGCAAACGGTAGTTAACATATTGGTCCTGTTTGGTAAAAAATTGGCCTATAGGCCAATTTTGCCTTATATGACCACTATTAATTGTTTGATTTAGTTAAAATATCAATATAAATGTTTGGTTAATTATTAGCTTTTTGCAACTCCAAAAGGCTAAAATTGAAAAAGGTACTCCAAACAACTTTTTCAATTAACTTTTTGAGAAAAGAAATTATACCAAACAGCTATCAGCTAACAGCTAATTTACCAAACACTTTTCTATAATCAGCTAATGTTATCAACTGTTTATACCCTCTAATTAAAATGCAAGATGACTCATCGTCCAAGATATAACAATGGTCCATGGAAAGAATAATTGGACAAGTTATCAAATACTCCAACGAAGATTTCGTTTTTCTGGGCCTAGAGGCTAGAGCCCATGACTTAAATAATCGCAAATTATGCTGTGGACACATGGATATATTCATAATTTCAATTTCTATACTGTAGATTTATAATTTATTTTTTATTTGAAACCGTAGATTCATAATTTTGTTTTTCATTTGTTGTTATAGATATTATGAATCTACAGTATAGAAATTATGAATCTATATTATAGAAATTATGAATTTACAGTATAGATATAGAAATTATGAATCTACAATATACAAATTATGAATCTACATTATAGATGTTATGAATCTATAGTATAGAAATTATGAATCTACAGCTTAGAAATTATGGATCTATCCCGTTAACAACAAATGAAAAACAAAATTATGAATCTACATTTTCAAAAAAAAAATATGAATCTACAGTATAGAAATTATGGATCTACCTCTGTGTTCACCATGCGCATGGTGAACACGTTTCCACAGCATAACTATTGTTAAATAATGTACCAAACCCGTGTCCACCTTGCAAGGTAGATACGGTTCCAAAACAGTGTCGTTTTGGTGGAAAACGACGTCGTGTCAATTTTTTTTAAAAAAATATTTCTTTTTCACCGTTAATGGCGTTTGTCTTCAGAAAGTCTATGTTCATAATTTTTGAACTTCATATTCACAATTATTGAACTCTGTATTCACAATTACAGAACTCTATGTTCATAATTTTTGAATTCTAGAAGTCTATGTTCATAATTACTGAACTCTATGTTCATAATTTTGAACTCCATATTTACAATTATTGAACTCTATATTCACAATTACAGAACTCTATGTTCATAATTATAGAACTCTATGTTCATAATTTTTTAACCCTATATTCATAATTCTTGAACTCTATATTCACAACGTCTCGCTGAGTTATTTTGACAAATTAAAAAAAAATAAAAAAATTTCTGATTGGTGGAGGAAAACAGTGACACTAACGATACCGTTACTCCAAAATTGTCAAACGACGTCGTATTGGGTGTCCACCTTGCAAGGTGGACACGATTCCACGGCATAACAATGGGTAAAAGAGTTAGATTGAAACAAGATTAAAAAAACATGCAATTGTTATATCATACATCAAGATCCACCTTATAATGTGGATTTTGGTTTTAAGTGATATCGTTTTGTAATAATTTACATAAATAGTATTTTTAGTGGTGTCATTTTTTTTTTTTTTGCACAATAAAAAACAACGTTGGTGCTATAAGTACATAATATGTTAACTGCAGTTATATAATAGATTAATTGCAAACACACAATTTGTTAATTACAAATTGATATAATCAATACATTAAATTCATAATAAAAAGTTGATAATTTTCAATAAAATATCTCTTAAAACTATATCATAATCATGATTACATGTCAAATACTTAATTTATAAGCATTCAAAAGTTTATTTACCTACGGTTAGTGTTGTAAAAATTGACCTAAGTGGCACCTAGGCGCTAGGCGCTCCTAAGCCGTTCGACTTTCACTGTTAGGTGACAAAAGTCGGCCGGCTAGAGAGAGATAAGACTTCCAAATCCCTCTGCAAAATCCGTATATGTAGGACAAAAGAGAGATGAAGAATGAAAAGCAAAAGAGGAAGAAAGAGGCAAATGGAACACAACAACCCACAAAAATTAAAGAGCATGAAGAGACAAACAAAAGAATAAAAACACTCCGACCCGAGCAGACAACATTTCTCTTGCCAACTACCTAAAGATAAGAAAGAAAAAGATAATAAAAAATAATCCATATATCATGAAAAAATGGAGAATGATAAGAAAAAATAATGTGTACAAAAAAATTAACACAATGTATAAATTACTATATTTAATGACGTTAACAATTAAATAAAACTATAAAAAAAAAAAAAGTGTAGTTGTACAAAGAAAAAATAAACACAATATACAATTAAAATTATAACTAATTACACAATTAGGGGTGCAAACGAGTTGGGTAGCTCAAGTCATTCAATCAAAATTTAGTTCGAGTTTGGTCAAATCCAAACTCGGGTTGAACTCGAGTTTAAAATTTTTTAGATGGTAACTTGTTGAATCGCTCGCAAGCCCCTTACCCACCCACCCATCCCTTGACACACACACACGTATAACTATTGTTCAAACTTGAACCAATCAAACTGAGTTCGAATCTTATAAAAATTAACTAGCTAAACATGAACATAAATTTTTAAACTCGATCAAGTTCAAACCCAAAGTTAAACTCAATCCAATATAACTATTTCAAACTTAACTTCAAGCCTACTTAAGTTTGAACTCAACTTGCCTCGTTTGCCCCTCTAACACCCATTAATATACTCTTTGCCCACTTTCTAAACATTTTTTGTGAGATCAATCTTTATGTGCTATAATTGTCTTCTTGTGCTACCATACTAAAAGTTCATCCTATCATAATTATGATTTACCATTCAAATTCAAATTCAAATCTCAACAAACAAACATGAGAAGTAGTAGGAAAACAAAAGGAGAAAATCATGATTTGCTTTCACTTTGTAAGACAGATCCCACAAGGTCAAAATGCAAATGCAAAACCAAAACCCACAATCTGAGACACCACTTAATTCACTTTTATTTTTTCTTTCTTTTTCTTCCTTGTGTTATTCAGATGAAAATATTCCACATTTCTAGTTTGGCACAAAACACCTACTGTATTACTTACTTGATCCACATCAGAAATACAACCTGCTCATTGCTAAGCAAGAATCAGTAATAGAGTTATAGATGTCTATATTAAGGATTAACACAGCACAAATCTACCATTACAGTTAGCGATTACAAACCATTTAAAAGACATTTAGATCGCGTCATGATATTAGTAGTCACCATATTTAACCCGGGCAGTTATGTCGTCTTCTATCAGTAGTAAGCTTGATGGTAAGCTGGTGACACGGCATTGCTGTAGCCTCCGTATGGTGAGTAGGGGGAGCCTGGGTAAGGAGCAGCTTCGGGGGAGTACACATACGGGGGACTTCTGCTTCCCCCGTGGACATACATGGCTGGAGATGTCGGGTAGGCTGGGACTCCGACAGGGTATTGGGTGTGTGGAGGTGACCTGACAAACGCGGGAGCTGATGGGAAAGAAGATACGTAAGCATTGGTCGAGCGGCCAGCCTTGGCTGGGGGCATTGGGCCTCCATTGTTGACGCGTGTACGTTTGTTCGCAGGGGCTGCAGTGGCGGTGGTTGCTGCTGTCTTCTTTTTCTCAGTCTTGGACTTCTCCAACTCCTCGAGGCGCTTTTTGAGGTTTTCGGGAGGGAACTCAGCTTCGAGTTTGTACTCTTCAATGCACTTGAGGACCGAACGAACAGCTGATAGCTCTTTCTTTGCAGCCAGGTGCTGTGGCAAAGATATATCGGAGAATCAAATACCCAGTAATCAACATTGTCCATCAATCACAACACAAAGCCATGCAGAATTGGAACTCGTAATCACATAGCAAGAGGCAGAAATGGAAAAGACTCAAAAGAGAAAAAATAAATATGGAGTAGAAGGGCAACAATACCGCAGCTCGACCAGAATTGCTAGGATCTTCAAGAATTGCAGCAGCAGATTTTTTCGCGTCTTTCAGAAAATCTTTCAGAAGAGGAACGGGAGGGAATTTGTCAACAAGGCCAACTTCACAACTGAAATGCACAGCATCTAGCTGCTGTCCTCTGCTGATTAGTTCCTCAATCATCTCTGTGCAGAAAATTATTAACACATGCACTAAGAACAAGTTTTTCCTCAAATAAACACAAAATCTTACGTTTTAAAAATAACAATCCAACTTCATCTTATTTATTTCCCCTAAGAGTCATTGGAAGTATGTTTGAGATCAATGAAACGAACTTCAAAAAACATATACCCCGTAATAAAGACTGCAGTATCAAATATTGATCCCTAGAAGCCACATCATAGAACATCAGTTCTATTCAAATCTTTCTGCCTCTCATTGATAACAGGGATTGACCCAACGTAATGAAGCAAACACACAAACCACTCCAAAAGCAGACTTATGGTACTCCAAAATTGTACTAGGCCATAATATACTAGTTTAGGGACTACTACTAGTTTAGGGACTAGATCGTAGCCTCGATCTATTACATAGCTAGCGTTTAATATTATACCAAGTAAAATTACACACAAAATACATAGTATCGTTTTCAAAGGGCTCACGACTATATGAAGCCACTCTTCTTTTAGTTTGCTAAGGGCAAATTAAACCTCACGCATCCTGCCACCCATGACCTTTAGTCCACCTTGATTTTAAGAAGCATATGACATGTGCTCCATCTCAACTAAAAGCCTAAGCTGATAGTTGGATTGCACGGTTATATGCTCAACAAGAGGGGATTGTTGGGACTACGGAAGGATGTGGTTAAGCGTGCTTGACTTAGAGGATGGTATTCATGGAATAAATAGGTTTTCCATTAACAGATAAAATGGTTTATTAAATAGTAGCAAACAAATTATCATTGAAATTTGGAATGGTCCAAGTAAGGAGGTTACCAGGCATTTTATCAGTGAGACCAAGTGAGACAGCGAGCTTGGGCATCTGCTTCCGCCAAGCAGACCCAACAACAAGCTTTCGGTACAAATCGAAATCTTCCTTCTTAACAATCCCAAAAGTCAGCAAATGTTGCAGGAAAGTATGCACATCAGGGGTCTTCACATTCTCAATCCCTCCTCTTTCATCCAAACTCTTCTTCCACGTTTCTGCGATTTCATTAGCCTTCTCCCTCACGCTCGGTGTCACCAGCATCCTCTCACTGCCCACCAATGGATCCATCATTACTGGAATCAGCGATTCCAGCAAAAGCACACAGGCCCACCCCAAATCATTGCTCTTGTCGCTCTTCACCTCCCTTCTATCCTTCGGAAACACCTCCGATATCGCTTCAAGCACCATCTTCGCCGGATCCACACAGTCCCCGAGCGCTTTAGGAATTTCCGACCTCAAAACCTCTAATTCCTTCTTCCGAACGATCACGAAACTCCAGAAGCTTCTAGAGTCCATCTGAACACAAAAAGACCTCAACTTTAACAGCAATCCGGCAGAATTATCCACCTCCGGTTGCTCCAAACCCTCGCCCTCCGATTCAGCGCCGTGGCTCTTCAATTCCACGAGCGCGGCTTTGCTGTTATCGCTGAGCTTCTGGAGAGCAATGGAGATGGACGCGGAGATAGAGCTCTCGCGTTTCTCCAGAGCCTCGAGGGAGTGTTTAGTTTCAGAGTCTAGGGTTTGGAGTTTGGTTTTGAGGGCTTCGGACTTCTTCAAGAGGTCCTGCTCGAGGGAGGTGAAGTGATCAGAGAGCTCTTTCCATAAGAGAGTGCAGCTGGTCATCAGAGACGTCTGCCGCTGAAACTCATCGAAACTGAGCGGCGTTGACTGAGAGCACTCGCCGGGATCGGCGATTAAACCCATTTTGGCCGATTCACGGCGATGGAAGAGAGAGAAATGGGAATGGTAGTGAGATGAAGTTTGGTGGAGTGGCGATAAAGCGACAGAGGATGAAGGAGTGCTGACATGTACCCAGACAGACTGGTTGGGAATGTTGAATGGTGATGCCCAAAAATCACTACTTTTCCCTCAACACACAGGTTAACAATTGTTCATCAAGTTTTATTTTAAAATTAAAAGTTAATTAAATTTAAATTAAATATGAAAAAATGACATTTTTTCTCCTGAGTTCTTATAATACTTTTTCATCTTTAAGTTATTCATGCATCCATATTTGCCACATCAATTATTATAAAAGTGACTCTTTTGACCCCTGATTCAGATGGACATTTCTACCCTTAAAATAAATATTTTATTTATTTCTCTTCTTTAACAAATTATTCCTTATACGTAGGGATGACCACGGTCCGATTCGAACTGAATCGGACACTATAGCAATCAAATCAAAAAATTTCGATCATTTTTTAGAACCAGGACCCAATATTTGGATTTCCGTTTATGAAATTCGTGAAGTGAAAAAATAGATCCTGAACCATGAACCGGAGGTTCAAATTGAAACAACTACTAGCATTTTCTTAAAATTAGAATTATAATATTACAAATAGTGTATGTTCTTTTTCGCATTTATTTTTATCCTCACATATATATATATATATATATATATATATATATATATATATATATATATATATATATATATATATAACCGCGATTTGATTTTTATTTTGAACCGTCACCGCGATTTGATTTTTATTTTGAACCGTCAATTCACGTCCAATTTGAACTGCTGGTTCAAACTTTCTTTTAATTTTTTTTTTTTTTTAAATATTCTAAATTAAACAATTAATGTATTTTATTTTTTCAATTCAAAATATGAACGGACAGTTTCGGTTTGCGATTTTAATAAACTCTAAATTCGGTGCCAAGCACCTTGTGCTCAGATAGTATGTAGTGACCTCTCACATGTGGGAGGTCCTAATATCGAGCCTCAATGGAGGCGTTGTTAACTCTTTGAATAGATACTACAATGTAATAGAGTCAATAGCATTCAAAAAAAAAATATTGGGTTCCGGTTCTAAATTGTCGTCATAACCTTTCTATTTGGTTGCTATAGTGTCTGATGGGTTCCGATTCTAAATTGTCATCATAACTTTTCTATTTAGTTGCTATAGTGTCTGTTCGATTTGGTTGGAGTCAGTAGCATTCAAAAAAATATTGGGTTCCGATTCTAACCTTTCTATTTGGTTGCTATAGTGTTTGTTCGGTTTGAATCAAATCGTGGTTATAATTTGTTGGAGAAGAAAAATGATAAACTGTCACGTAAATAATTCAGGGGAAAAAGTGTCATTTTCCATTTTACCATGGAGTATTATGGATGGTGTCAATTATTTACCCAACAAAATTTAATAGAGGTAATTCCATTTTTTGTCATTGATTTATAAGTGACAGTTTACTTTTAGTCTTTTTTCAGAACATTCATTTTTGGTCCTAGTATTATTGTGATATAACCATTTTGGTCCTCTATCAACAAAACAATTTAAATTTCATTAAATACAATAGTATTTCGGTCTTCAATTATCGATTTTTTTTTAAATAAACATAAAAATATAGCGGGTCAAACTACTTTGTATAAAAAAGATCGAATGTCCTTGTATTTGACGAAATTTCAACGATTTTGTTGACGGAGGACAAAAAATGGTCATGTCGCAATAATACTAGGACCAAGTGAGGATGTTCTAATAAAAAAAGTACTAAAAGTGGATTACCACCTATAAATCTAGAACCAAAAATGAAATTAACTCAAATTTAATATAATCATATATTAATTAATTTGTCAAGCACCTTGTGCTCAGATGTCATGTAGTAACCTCTCCCATGTGGGAGGTCATGAGGTCGAGGCTCAGTGGAGCCGTTGTTGACTCTTTGTGTTTCATTAAGTTAAAAAAGTATGTTTGAACAGACTCTACAATATAATAGAATCATTAGCATTCAAAAAATATATTAATTAATTTTTAATACATTTACATAGTTAAGTATTCTGTTAATTAATTATTAATTATCCGGGGTAACCCACTCAACCTAAGCTGGTTTACCTTCTTATGATCATTTATCGGATAGCGTTTTCCACGGGCCTGCTAGGGCGCTTCAAGGGCCACTCTGCATTAAAATAGCTTGTTATTTATTTGAATTTTTTTTTTAGATGAATGTTGCATGCAACGGCCAACACACTTGTTTGTTTGTTTTTATTTATTTTTTATAACATAATTTTCAAATAAATTAAATTTTGAAATTTTTAATTTAAATATATAAAAATAATAATTGTAATTATAATTTTATTTTATAATGATAATAGATAAAGAAATAATTAAAATATAGTGGAGTAAAATATGGGTTCACAAAAAATTGAGAAAAAAAAAATAAAACTAAGAGCATCCTTAGTTAAGGTTTTTTTTTTTTTTTTTTTTTTTTTTTTTTTTTTTTTTTTTGTGCGCTTTTGCAAGTGTGACTATGAAAGAGAAAATGAGAGGGAGGAAAAAAATAAATTAAAACAAAATCTTTAAAAAAAAAACAGTTGTAGATTAACGCACCTGATTGGGCTCTTCTGGTGCTTTTCACCCGGACTGGGAGAGTTTTTTTTTTTTTTTTGGATGGGTCTCACTTTTGGAGACAAAACTAGGTTCTTATCAAGGAGCTCAGATCGTCTCTCTCATATTTCTTTCTCCTCCACATCACACAAGGCTCCACAAACAACCTCCTAAAATTCACTATTGCAGATGCTCGGGCAACCACAACAATGCATTTTTCTTGATTTTTAGAATAGTAAATATTTTAGCAATTGCTTTTTAACTGATGTGGAACTTGATTTTTAGCAACATTATATTTTTCTCCTACAAAAACATAATTTTTGCAAGAGAGAAGAAAAAAAAAATGTGAAGTGCGTGTTTGTAGCGCACTCATGCGGCCGTTGAGGCGTGTCAGAGCCACTCTGACTTTTAATCGTTGAATCCTCTTTTTTTTTTTTTTTTTTACTTGTCAGAAACATTTTTTTTAATTTTGTTTTTCTTTTATTTTTCTCTCCATTTTTATTCCTATTCTACATGGCAATCTAAAAAATTGTGCAAAAATTCAATTACTATGGATGCTCTTAGAGTTTTTGAGGTGATTTTTGAAGAGGTATAATCCTATGTGGAAGAGAGAGAGGGTTGGAGAGAGAAGACAAAGGTTCTTAGCTTGTAGGAGGGGTGAATTTTTGTCTCCTAATATGGACCTTACTTCACTCATAAAACAAATTATAAACTGCTGCTAGTGCGCGTTAAGCGCACCAGCAGCGCCTAGTGGGCGTGTATATGTACACGCGCCCACTGGGTGCGTTGAGGGTGGTCTCTAGCTGGCGACCATCCTCATTTATTGCTTTATATCTTCTTTTTTTTTTTTCCCCTTTCATCATCTTTCCTACTTGGATCCTAAAAATTAGTGCAAAAATTATAACTTGTGCAAAAATTATACTTGTGCAAAAAGTATTGTTAATGGGGAAAAGAATTTTTGATATTAAGTGAGATAGTAGAAGATGAGGTGGATGTTGAGGCCCACAAAAAACTTATGTAAAAATTTCAACTATTGAGATTTCTCTAATAGATAATTAAATTAGAATGGGTGCGACTTGGTAGAACCGTACAATGTGCTCTAGCTCTCTCTCTCTCTCTCTCTCTCTCTCTATATATATATATATATATATATATATATATATATATATATATATATATATATATATATATAGTCAGCACATGCAGTAGGCAATAGCTCAAATGTCCTTATAACTAATAGATTTACTGTTTTAGATTCAACCTCTCATCTTCTCTCTTGTAACTAACATAACTACCTTTCTGTTATAGCCTTTGGTTTATATACTCTTGATGTTATATTGATGGACTGATGATGAATAATACACTTGCCTTCTTCATTCTTTCTTTTCTGCAAACTCATCTGTGAGTTTCCTAGAATGGTATCAGAGCCATAATCATGACCTGGCGTACACCCATCGTGAACATGGTGCATCCATCAACGACTTCGAATCCGGCAATCCCTCTGGTGAACCCCATCCCAATTCCGACTCCAGTTGGAGTTCCTACTGCAAATCCAACTGCCTTTGATCCTAAAGATCGCACTGATCCTCTGTATCTTAATCCTAATGAGAGTCCATCGTTGCATTTAGTCACGGTTTAATTGGAAGGACAATCAAACTATCATTCATGGGCAAGAGCCATGGAAACGGCCATAAGATCCAAGAACAAAATGGTGATTGTAGATGGAATGGTGTCAATTCCCAGTCGAGCTGATCCTAGGTTCTTTTAATGGGATCAATGCAACACTATGATCCTTTCATGGATCCTCAGAGCTCTCTCCCCTACAATTGGCGAAAGCGTATTGTGAATCAACATAGCAGAGGGTGTTTGGAAGGATCTGAAAAAGAGATTTAGCCAACAGGATGTGTTTCGCATCTCTAAAATTCAGGCTGAGATTCATCAAACTAAACAAGATACATCTACTATAAATGAGTATTTCACACAGTTAAAACTATTATGGGATGAGTTGCTTGTGTTGAGACCTACCTGCGTATGTTCACCTAGTTGTGCTTGTGGAAGAGGTTTGTCTGAGAAGGTCAGATCTCACCTGGAAAATGACATGTTGTCAGCATTTCTCATTGGTCTCAATGACAATTTCTCAAGTACTAAACGGCATATCATGCTGATGAAACCACTGCCTAATGTTGGTGAAGCTTTCTCCATGGTTTCACAGCAGGAAAGACAAGTTACCATTGATTCAAGCACCCTAGCAGATGGCACAACAGGAGCCAGTGCCTTCTTCATTAAGGTTGAAGGCAGCACTACAACATCCTTTTCTAATCAGAAGCAAAAGCTAGTTTGCATTTTTTTGTGGATAAACAGGGCATGCGGCTGAGAAATGCTATAAAAAGCATGGCTATCCCCCTGGTTGGAAGCCAAGAAACAAGGGTATGACATCAGCAAATCAAGTCCAAACATCCTTGCAAGATACTGGGAATTCAGACAACAGTCATACCTTTAATTAAGAAGACTATAGAAG